TTTTCCCCCTTTCCCTCTTCTTTTTAAGGGAAAATATTTGAGAGGCAGAGAGACATAGGTCCCATCTGCTGGTTCACTCCTCAAACACCTACGGCCGGCGCCGCAGCTCACTAGGCTAATCCTCCGCCTTGCGGCGCCGGCACCCCGGACTCTAGTCCCGGTTGGGGCGCCGGATTCTGTCCCGGTTGCCCCTCTTCCAGGCCAGTTCTCTGCTGTGGCCCGGGAAGTGCAGTGGAGGATGGCCCAAGTACTTGGGCCCTGCACCCCATGGGAGACCAGAAGCACCTGGCTCCTGCCATCAGATCAGCGTGATGTGTCGGCCGCGGCGGCCATTGGAGGGTGAACCAATGGCAAAGGAAGACCTTTCTCTCTGTCTTTCTCTCTCACTGTCCACTCTGCCTGTAAAAAAAAAAAAAACAAAAAAAACAAAACAAAAAAAAAACCCTACGATGGTCAGTGTCGATCTGGGCCAAAGCCAGGAGCTCAGATGGGAGACAGGGTGACCCAGCCACTTGACCCATCACCGCTGCCTCCCAAGGTGTGCATTAGCAGGACAGCTGGGATCAGGAGCCAGAGGCAAGATTCAAACCCATGCACTCTGGTATGGGATATGAGCGTCCTAACCCCTAGGCCAAACACCCACTCCTCCACACCCACTCCTCCTCCCCATCTTTTTTCCTAGGGTCTCTGCTAGGCTTTGATGTACCTTTATGCTAAATGGAAAAGAAGGCTCCTCCCCAAACAGTGATGCTTCTGGCCAAATTTGAGAACAGCACCACTCTGGCTCAGACCCATGTGCTACCTTGGCAGGACCCCTTGCTCAGTACACAAAATGCACAGTCACCACAGAAGCCCAGTGCTCCAGGAAGGCAGGAGTACTGAGGCAGGCCCAGCCCTGGAAGAAGCAGAGAGCGTGCACTTGTATTGCCATAGCAGCCTTTGGGGCTGAGAAAGACCTTGGGGCCAAGCCACCTGCCTTCTTCCACAGACGTGGCGACACGTCTGGTTCCATCACATATGCTAAAAGACAGAGATTGCTTTGTTTCCACCAGAGAACTTGCGGAGAATCCTTCACTCATTCCCACGTAAGTGTGCGGCTGTGGTCTGAAACCAGCAGGCAAACCCAAGTCTTCAGCTGGGGATAATTGTCCCCACCCCTGCTGAGTTTACTTCTGGCCAAGCCCAAGGGCTCCGCCTTGTGGGATATTTGAAACTCTTGACACAGCAAACGCTAAAGGATCTAATTAGTAAATACACTGCACTGTAACTCAAAGCAAGACCACCACCACCCTTGCAGTTTACCCTTCAATCTGAGATGGTCAGTGATGCACAGCCCGGGGAGACATCAGAGACGGAAGGCTGCCTCTTCTGGGACTCCTCCGCCCTCTGAGATGGGAATTTGGAAAAGATGCATTTGGAAATAATTTTTTTCCAGTAATGACAACGTTCAGTACCACATAAGAAATGAAATTGAAGCATTGATCTTATTCTTCAAATATAGGATAGCTTCAATATTAAAATTAACATATAAATTTAGCATCCATCTTTTTTCCACTCGCTTCTGCTGAGTAAATGCCCATATAAAGAATGAATCACTGAAACAGTATGCAGTGAAATCAAGTTCATTTTTCAAGTGTGTCAGTTCAGATGCAGTCAGAGCCTGTTTCCTGGGCACCCAACCAATGTTCTCAAGATGACCCCTCCTGCTACCTTCACCTGATCTGTCCATAGGGCATGCTGCAGACCTCAGGACTTGAGTCTCTGGAGAGAAAACCCTGTACTATGACTGCTCCCCTCGCCCGGCTCTAGTCCAGTTTTTTTCCATAAAGTTTATTATTTGGAGCCTTTTGAAGAGCCCATGAGAGTATTTTAGGCATGGAAAGCCAAGACACCCTGGAAAAAAAAAAAAAAAGGAAGACCTAAATGGAAGATCTCTGCGAGTGAGATCCCAGTGGAAAGAATGGGGCCATCAAAGAAGGAGGTACCTTTCTCTGAAGGGAGGAGAGAACTTCCACTTTGACTATGACCCTGTCGGAATAAGATCAAAGTTGGCGAATTCAACAGGCTTCCATAGCCTTGGCAACTCATGACTAGAGCCTAGGGAGATTACTGACGCCATAAACAAGAGTGTCAAATTGTTAAGTCAACAACAGGAGTCACTATGTACTTACTTCTCATGTGGGATCTGTCCTTAGTGTGTTGTCCAATGTGAAGTAATGCTATAACTAGTACTCAAACAGTACTTTACACTTTGTGTTTCTGTGTGGGTGCAAACTGATGAAATCTTTACTTAATATATACTGAATTGATCTTCTGTATATAAAGAGAATTGAAAATGAATCTTGATGTGAATGGAATGGGAGAGGGAGCGGGAGATGGGAGGGGTGTGAGTGGGAGGGAAATTATAGGGGGGGAAGCCATTGCAATCCATTAACTGTACTTTGAAAATTTATATTTACTAAAAAAAATTTAAGAAAAATATTTGGAGCCTCTTAGAAGCCGCTTGACTTAATGGCCTGAACAAGTGCTCCAGCGATGCACCTGCCCCCTTTCCCTGGTGTTGGTTTCAAACATAGCCATGTGCCTGATTCACAAATGCCTTGCTTCTCAATTTACCTATGAAACTACTTTTTTTCCCCTCATCATCAGAAATATTGATATTTACTAAAAGTCAAAAGTTTCCAGGGCATTAGTGACCTGGGAATCACGGGAAAACTAGAAGGGATCAGAGCACCGAGAACAGGCCCTCCCTTTGGGGGAGAGGGTAGGATGTTTTGTCAGCCATGTTGTGCTCAGTCTGGGTCATCTGACCTGGAGAAGATGCAGGACAGACCTTGTAGCATCTTGGTTTGCACTGTTGCTTGTTAAATGCAGGTACACTTTGGAGGTGCAAATGCCTTCGGAAATACGTTTGTCGAAGGTAGGCCCAGACATTAGCCTATCAAAGCCACATAAAATGTTCAGGATGTGCATTTTCAGAATTAGAGGGAAAATTCTTCTCTCTACTCCTTCACTTTCTTTTCCTGTGTAAACACTGATATTTAAATATAACTTCAGGGGCAGGTATTTGGCCTAGCGTTTAAGATGCCAGTTGGGACACCAGCATTATTTCAGATTGGAGTGGTTGATGCCGGCTGTGTTGCCTGCAGCCTGTATCTGAGTATCTGGCTTCGAGTCCCGGGTCTGCTCCTGATCTTCTTGCTAATGTACAACATGTGAGATAACAAGCTGTGGTTCAAGAACTTGGATCTCTGCCACCCACATGAAAGCCTGGCCTAGCCTGGCCATTCAGCTGGGAACTGAACAAGATGTGGGCCCTCTCTCCATCTCTCAAATAAGTAATCATTAAAACTAAATACAGGAGCAGGTGTTAGCTCAGCAGTTAACACGCGGCAATGGATGCCCACATCCCATATCACAATCCCTGGCTCAAATCTCAGCTCTGTTTCTGATCCAGATACCTACCAGTGTGCATCATAGGAGGCAGCAGGTGATGGCTCAAGTACTTGGGTCCCTGGCACTCATGTGGAAGACATGGATTGGGTTTTAGGCTCCTGTTTTTGCTTGGCCCAGCGCTGACTGTTACAAGGATTTGGTTGGGGTATGAGCCAGCAGATGAAAGATCTTTCTCTATTTTTCAAATAAAGTATAAATAAACAAAAATTTTAAAAAACAAATGTTAACTTTAGTGCAGGCATTTAGCACAGCAGTGAAGATGCTAGTTAAGACACTTGTATGCGCACCCTGGAGTACCTGGGTTCATTACCCAGCTCTGGTTCCTGACTCTGGCTTTCTGCTAACACACACCGTGGGAGGCAGCAGTGGTGACTCTAGAACTGGGTCCCTGCTACTCACATGGGAGACCTGGATCGAGTTCCTGACTTCCTGCTTCAGCCCTGGGCAGTCGTTGTGGGCATCTGGGGGAGTGAACCAACATATGGGAACTCTCTCCGTCTCTTAAAAAAGATTAAAACCCTTTAACAACAAACTCAATTTAAACACTCTGGTATGTAACCATGTCAATTAAATACATATTAATTTGACTCATATAAGGAATTTACCCCTCAAATATTTCTCATTCCAAAAGTGCCCTTGGAGGTAGAAATGAGAGTTCTTTTGTTATTAAGCTCACCCTTTCCCCTGGGACCCATTCACTGATGGAGAGCACCTCAGGCAGAGGGACTGCAGAGCCTAAGACTCTCTTGCATTGGGAATTCTCTCTCTCTCTCTGCATCCTTGTCAGGCAGAGGCTTTTATTTATTTGCTTATTCAGTTTCCCTTCCACATTCATAAGCTTACTGTCTGACCTAAGCAGCCATCTACTTTCAAGCACTTTGAAGAATGGAAACAGTACTTCAGGGAAGTAGTTGCTGTGGGCATCTCTGAACACTACAGTTTGAAAATTCCCTCTAAAAAAAGACCTCAGCAAGAAGTCTGCTGTATTTAGCACATCCTAGAATGCTTGGTAAATGAAGGAAAAATGTTCTGATTTTCAGTGTTTTCAGCCTAAAAGTAGAATAGAATCTTTTCCCAGTGAGGAGGAGGAAAGCCACATCTATATTCTGAATGCAAAGCTGCTGAACTTAATGAACTGAAGATCAATAGCCCTCATTTACTGAGTACTTTTTATGTCAGGTACCACGCTAAGCATTCACATCCTTCCCACACTCAGCTGTGCATCGTTGGCTGTTTTCACTTCTGTTTTTAATGGGATTCTCCATGGTAATTCCTGCTTACCATGGTGAGGTCCATAGGTAACGTGGAAAACAGCACACAAAGCACACTGTCTTATGCATTGTGAGCACTCAGTAAGTATCTGTGGAAGAAATGAATGAAGGGATTTGGGGAGTGAACCAGCAGATGGAAGATCTCTGTCTCTTCTCTCTCTTTGTAACCCTTTCAAAATTAAAATTTTTTAAAGAAAAAGAAACAAATGGATGGAAAGAAGGAATGAATGATGTCTTTTCCTAAATAAGTTCTTTTTGAACACAGCCCTAAAAGTTAGCCATTCCTGTCTCTCAAGTCATGTCTCATTTACCTGATACCTTGATTCTTAACCCACATCGTTTCTATTTTTAGAGACCATCTTTCACAAGTAGAAATGACATAAACCAAGATCATCTTCTTAGTTTATTTTTTTCTAGAGTCCTTAGCATGCTACATTAACCTGACAAAGCTTACTCTTGTGTTCATTTCACAACACATTTCATGCAGCTCACAGCTGTGATTGGTTTTACATAGACATTACACATGTTTCAATTCAGACATGTGAAAAGAATAATTCCTAATGGAGCTTGACTCTGACAACTGTCCAAGCTTAAATAAGCATATAAGCAGTTCACTCTATTCTTAAGTGCAGTCTCTCTTTAGGATGCAAGGATTTTTAGAGGAGGCGCATAATGTCCCTATTTATCGTCCATTCGCAACTGAACCACTTCCTTTAGGTTGCGAACATCCTGAGGGGTCCTCCTTTGCAAAACTGCATTCATGTATACTATTTTATGTAACATTCCAGGCTGGGCTTAGAGCAAGGCTGACTTGAGCTTTACATCGTGACCCAGCCTTCCCAAGACTACCCTTAGCATGAGACTCTCTTACAACAGACATTCAGCACTAAAGCCACAGAGCAAAGCTATTTGGCATTTTCCAGTGAAGTGCAAGAAATTAAATAAGTTATGTTTTTATTGCTAATGTATAGAATCAAGCAGTCACTTTGTCAGACAGAAGGAAAGGGTATGTGCGAGACGTGGCCTCTCCTGGGGGTCCCCAGGGTTCAAGCGCACAGCACAGGTCACCTGGTCAGCACCCATCCGGCACCGGCTTAGGATGACGTGTTGAGTATTCTGGAGTCCGAGGAGTCAGACCTGTCGTCGTAGTCATCCTCGGTGTAAATGGACTGCTTCGACACGATGGGACATCCATCCTCGGGGACCGAGAGGCGAGGGTCTTCGGCGGGGCGGCTGGGGAGCACCGGCGAGCTCCTGAAGACACTGGTGGAGTTACTGGGGAAGGGGCTCACGTACTGGGACCTCAGCTGGTACTGCTGCTGCAGCGTCATGGTGTTCCATAGGGTGACATCGTTGGGCAAAAAGGGGCTCGACTGGTTTCTGGCCAGAGTATTCCTCAGCATCAGGGGGTACCGGGGCGGCTGGGGAAACGGGTGCTGCAGGGGCACGGCCAGGGGGCTGGGGACGACGTTGCCAGAGTCCGCAGAGAACCTCAGCGTGTCTGGGACTCGAAAGGCCGAGCCCACGGACCACTTGGACGAGGAGATGGGGTAGGAGCTCAAGGTGTGTTCAAAGATGTGCCCGTTGGAGGGCAACACGAGGCTGTCCGGCTCGGCCGCGGTCCGCTCGGCGCCGGCCACCGACGAGCGGCTGGACAGCAGCACTTCCACGGCGCCCACCAGGTCCCCCCCGCAGCCCTTCAGGATGAGCTCCAGCACCGTGGGCTTCTGGTTGGGGAATATTTTTTTAAGCACCTCAAGTGGAGGTCTGTTGGCTTTCAAGCTGAAAGGCAGCGAGACGGTGCCCGTGGGGCCCTCGATCAGCAGCTGACTCTGCTCGGCCTGGAACTTGGGACTGCCGGGGCGGCTCTCGGGGTTGCCTCCGTTCTTCTGCACGGCGTAGCCACCTTCATCCACAGCCACGACCTCGGGGCTCTCGGGGGTGAAGCAGCTCTTACTTTTGGTCACATCGGGGGAGCTCCTTTGGTCTGTGTCTTTGTCGCTGAAGGCCTCCGTGGTGTCTGCTGCGCCGCCATCCCCAAGTCGTTCTTCAGTCACATCTGGAAAGCAGACAACAGCTGGGTTAATCCTTTCCCAGTGTGCATAAAGAGGAACAGATGTGCTCAGAAGGGAACAGCACACAGGCTTTTGGAAGGGGAAATGTGGCTTAGAACACACTGTCAGCCTGAAAAATATATATATATCTCCAAAATATGCCATTGGCAAATGGCCACTCCCACCACCACTCCCACCACCACCACCACACACACACACACACACACACACACACACACACACACACACAGACTTGAGGAACTGTCAAACTTGGTTGCGTGCAACCAAGGGCAAACAGAACCAGCTGTGCATTCTGGATGGCTGGCCTCGTTGCTGGAAGGAAAAGGAAGTATCTGGAAAAGGTTTGTGAGACTGTTAGGGGGCATTGTCCACTCCTGAAGCAATGTATCACAACTCTAGGACCATGGGCAGCAAGTGGTGGGTACATTGGTTTATACTGTTTTGCTAGTAAAGTTCATGGAAAGGACTTAAAAATCACCTTTTTGAATTATATTTAAAAAGGAAGAAAAAGGCTTCCAAATAAAGCAGAGATTTGCCATGAAATAACCCAGTTACAAATTTGACATGTTGACCCAAAGGGACTAAGCATGTGTCCAGCTGTAACAATGGTTTGTTTTGCAGTAGTTTATCTAACATACTTCTATAATAAAAGAACATATGTTTAGTGGCAACGTATATGCAAATAGATTTTTATCCTTTTAAAAACACGAACAGGCTGTGGTTACCCAGAGCCAGGTTAACTGATCTGCAGATGAAAATTCTTAATGATCCAGTTGTCAGGTTGTAAACAATTGGTTTGCCTGTGTTCTCCACTGCCGGCCTGAATAGCCTCATTGTCTCTTTGGGCACACCTGATTCAGTGCAGATAGCTAGCTGGTGAAATTTCATCAAAGCTGCTTCTAGAAACCCTCTCCTCCCGTTTGTTTTTGTTTATCTTAAAACCTTAAACAAAGGTCCGCTTGTGAACATTCTTCTAACACAAGATATATCCTAAGTATAATGGAAAAATAAAATTTTGGTTCTTTACAAAGCAATAAATACATGCCAAGCATAAATACATACGTGTTAAAATATTTCTAAGTTACATCAGAGCAATTTTCAATCATGAGTCTAAAGAAACTGATTCTTATCCCAAATGAAACTGCGTTTTTTTCCAATATAAAATATAAAGTGTCCATCATGGGGGTTATTTTCAGCTCAGAAATATGAAGACATATTTTCTTTCTATAGTAACTTTGAGATGCACAAAGGATTATTTAACATTCTCTCCTGCAGCTTCCTAGTACAGGGGACCCAGCTTTCATCCCTTGAGTTCATGTATCTCAACTCCACAGCCTCAATCCAAAAGAGAAAAATTGCAATGAGAAAGCTCCTACAGGTTCACAATCTGCTCAGCTTTAGATCTACCTAGTTTCCTGACTCAAGACCCCATACATACCACTGAGCTGTTACTCCATGATTACTGAAAACCTGAAAAGGAGTGGACAGTGAATGTCTGCTCTCAGCCCTGAAGGGACACAGGACTGCATCCTGGCCATGCTCAATGGAGCTGGAGAAGACAAGCCAAATACACTCCCTACATACACACGGACATGATATAATGTTTTAAATACTATGTACTTCTCAGAAATTTTCTTATTTCTTTGACTTTAGCCCACATTGTCTATTATTACCGGTATCAAATACTGATATCCATGTAATGTGCCAGGTACTGGGGGAAACAGAAGAGAAGGTAGAAACTATCGGATTGTCTAAGACCCACCTTTAACTTGTCAAACTTGGTATCTAGTTGGGGAAACAAGACACATGGGCAGGGGCAAAAAAAATTCTTAATAAGGCAGGGTTTTCTAAGCATCACATTTGATGCACAATGGGCAACACTCTTCATTGTAGCATCATCCACAATAGCCAAAAGGTGGAAGCAACCCAAAAGTCCATCCACAGAGGGTGGATAAATAAAATGTGTTTATACATATGGTGGAATATTATGGAAGGAATTCTTATGTATGCTACAGCACGGTTGAACTTGAATACATGATGATAAATGAAACAAGCCAGACACAAAAGGACAAATACTGTATGATGTCACACACATGAGATACATAGCATGGGCACATTCATAGACACAAAAAGTAGAATGATGGTTGCCAGGGACTGGGGGTAGGGAAGAGGGAATGCAGAGTTACTGTTTATTGGGTATGGAGTTTCAGTTTGGAATTATGAAAAAGTTCCGGAAATGGAAGGTGGTGATGGTTGTACAACACTGTGAACATACTTAGTGCCACTGAATCATACACCTAAAAATGGTTAAAATCATAACCTTAATATTCTGTATATTAAGGATTACACACAGTGTCACAGCAGTACAGCGGATGACAGGACTGTTTAAAGCACAAGCAACAGCCAGTCCTTCTTAGCAACACAGGTGCATGAATGCAGCTAGAAAGTCAAAACACAGTGGTTTAAAAAAAAATGTGTGAACCTAGCTTTCTCCACCTTGGATGAGTTTCAAACACTGAAGACATTTCAGAAATTTTTTTAGGTCTATCAAATTCACTCCCCCACAGCAAAACTGAGGCTCCAGAGGAGAGTGACTCAAAGAGCAGGTCAGTGAGAGAAAAACTAAAACATGATGTTTAATTTCACACACCTGCCATTACAAAAATGTGGTATTGCATCTTCAACCTGGCAACAGATAGACCTTCCCAATGCATCGGATGCCGGATGGCAGGAGTCTAAGTTTGATAAGTAAAAAAATTTCACTTCTGGGCCTATTTTCCTAAGTTCTGCACAATAGACTACAATGGAACCTTATGAGGCCCCAGATTGCAAAAGCCATTTCCTCATTTTGCTGTACCAAGCTTCCTTCTGGTGAGTGGGACATGCCAGTGTACCATGTATTGCTGGTTACTTCTCAAGGAGTTGTGGTACATGGTGCTGAATCATCCACACACTCTCTCCATAGGTGTCTGGTCTGAGCAGTTTCTCTATGGCCAAAAAAATTAGAAAGGCTAACAGGGAGCAGGCCTGCAAATTCAGACCATTCCAACCAACTGAGCTCAGCGTTGTTCCCACTGTGTTCAAAGGGAAGACAGTAGAGAAGAAAGAAGCAGGAAGTGGGACTCACCTATGAGGCTCACACACCTGAGCAGCACAGCAAGTCCTGTGAAAAGTGCTGGGTGAGCAGAATCCCCGTCAACATCTAAGGTCACTGAGCTTTCCTAACTGGGCAAAAGATCAGCCTCTCACCTTGCACCAGGATGTCCTCCTCACCCAGCAATAATTTCTGCAGGACAGAATATACAGTCCCTGCAATTCTGAGGCATGCTGGTGGCTAGGGTCGGTTGTATTACTGTACCTACACTAAATGTATTGTAAGTTACTCTGTTATAAATATAGACTTTCACAAGTAATTATAGAGGGAGAGTTTTGAGTCCAATGATAAAGTGTAATTTAATAACAGGTATTTCTTTACATCTCCAGGTTTTTTCCCAAATGAACTTTATAAGTCTTTCAAGTTGGTTTAAAACACAAAGGCCTTTCTAGATATGGAAATGTGAAACTGCCAACTAACAAAATGAAGTGAGAAATACTCCCAGAACACTTGACCTTCTTTCTTCTTGAAATTGAGACTCTAATTCCTAGATCATAAAGAATAAGAGTATATTTCAACCAATAATATTGCTTACCTCTAGAATCTAAGTATAGAAAGTCAAAACTACCAGCCAAATAGTGAAAAAGATTTTATGTTAGCACAAAGCAGTAACTGGAAGTGACAGAATATGCTGCTTCTAATGCTAAATATCTAGATATCTTACCATAAATTTGCTCTAATTTCATATTTCTTGAGACAGAAACAGTCATTGCCATCTCTGACCCGAAATAAACTTTTCACTGTGGTAAAGGTTTTTAAAAGGAATAACTATCTAAGTAAGAAGGAAATTTCTTCTATGGATAACAACACTACCAAACTCAAAATTTTGCTAAAAAACAGCTACTAAAGGCTGCTTTTTTTTTTACTACATGACTTAGAAATAAAGGAACAGCATTCATACAAAAAGTGACTTTTTAATCTAAAACTACAGTTTGCAAAATCAAGCTTACTTTAAAGGATTTTTTCATATGAAACTGTAGTTTAGTAAACAAAAAAATCTATGTATTCATTTCAAACATTCAGAGAAAGCCTCCCACATATGTTAAACAAACATTCTGCTCAAGGCACATAAAAATGGAAAATCTCTCTGACTTCCCCCAGATGGTGGGTTTTAGCCATTGTATTTAGTTGTGTCTACAAAACAAAATATATCTTATATCTAGAATGAAGACACGAGAACAGTGGCATGCTGGACGTTGCCCCTTTTGCAATCAGGTCATACACGTTGACACAGATTGCGATATCCTCCTTTGTTCACTTCAGCTTTGGGGAACACCCTCTAAATAAGAGGTCCCTTTGGGGTCCTCTTCAAAGCACACAGATGTTGCAGCAGTGAGGTGGATGTGGAGGGCAGTCCATGTAGAATAAGGCTTCCAGAAGAGACCACTGCCTTTCTGTTGTGTTGTCTCACTCTAGAAGCAATGAATCATTAAAAACAAACAAACAAACAAACAAAAAAACCCAAATGGTAAGAAATCTGAAGTACACCAGGGAATGCATCTCAGTCTAAAAACTTTCCTTTTGTTTCTGGGTGGAAAGACCCTGTGAAAACTAAAACAGTAACAAGTCATGCTTTGCTTTTAAAAAATCATTAACAACACTGGCTTCATGATGTATGTATGAAGGAATCAGGATGGGTCCTTGGGACCAATATTTTTGGGATACAAAGGGTGTGGAAAGCACTGGACTTAAGGGAATATGGTTTGTAACTACGGATTTTACATGTCTTAAACATTTTAGTTTTGCTCTCTTATACTCAGAAAGGAGTACTTTTCAAGAAGCATGGGAGAATATAGCTATCAATCTAGAAGCTTATTGGTTTTTCTAAGATGCAGCTGTCTAGTCACGTGTCCATCTCCTTGATAAACACTCTTAAGTGCCTTCCTACCCTCCCAAGTACTGTGCTAGGGGAGATTATACTCACACAGTGCTCAAAGCATTGCTTCTTGGCCACTGAGAGGCTTAGTTTACCAGCTGATCTTCTGCAAAATTCCAAGTTATCTGCACATTCATATGTTATGGTCACATTCTACTGTGTGCACATAGCTCAAAGGCAGGCAGCTGGGCCAACTATGATGTCCTCACAGGAGGGAATACTGTTGTAAAACATTTGCGCATAAAGACTATGGGTGCTGCAGATACACACACAGACCTAAGCAAAGGAATAGCCAGTGGGAAAACTGGAACACGGACCTTAGTTCGTAAAACTTGTCTGCCTCGTCATGGTAATCAAGAGATTGGGAAGTCCTGCATAGAGCTGCTATTGTGAATGTTCAGTTTTTCATAATATATTTGTATTTGCTAGTTGTGCTTATTTACGGCTGTTTATATAGTAATGGAAGAAGGAAAATGCACCACGTCATGCTTCAGTTTTGCTTCTGGGAACAGCAGTGCGCACTATTGGGTCCGAGGTTTGACTCACTGAAGCCAAGTGGGACCCTTGGGAAGCAAGGTGACACCCTCCAAGGAGAGGGAGCGGTGCTGCCCAGCGGTTCCTCCCCTCACTCCCCATCGTCCACAGGGAGCGCCTGCTCCAAGCCCACCGTGCCATCAGAATCACACTGGACTCCACAAGGTGTCCCAGGACCTGAGCAGCCCAGGGCCAAGAGGGCTGCAATAGGTTCAAAGGTGAAGACAAGGATGAAAGGAGAGAAGGGAGGAAGAAGGGAAGTGGAGGAAGGAGGCAGCCAGCAGGCAGGCAAATGGATTTTACTGAGCTCCATCCTCCTCCCTGTCAGGAAGAAGTGCAACATTTCCAGAAACGTCCTCTGGGGACTTTGATGTATGAAGATTTACTCCCGTTCCCCCTGTAAGCTGTTAGCAGAAAGTGCTGACCGGCTGCAGCAAAGAATTTCTCATCAATGCTCTTTGATTGTATTTTGCAAACAAAATGCCTGTTGCTTGGTAACATTTCACTTGAGCCTGACCTTCCCCGAAAGTTATTGCTATCAGATTCGATTTACACTGTCCTCCTGTGATTACTGTAATCTTTTAAACTCGGGAGTTCATCCATCAGGGAAAAGAAAAGTTGTTGTGTAAGTCTTGAGCAGGGCTACCCACCAGATTGATAACCCCAGGGAGTGTGCTTGTGGGGGGAGACCCTTTCCCCGGTGGCAGTGGAACTGGTTCCGGCCAGGCCCGCGCGCTCAGAGCCACAGGACACCAGCGTCTCCCCGGACGCCAGTTCTGGGTGGCTCTGGAGCGCGCGGGGGACAGGGACCGCAGGCCTAGGCTAAGGTGCCCCTGTTAAAACCGCAGTGCCCCGTCGAACTGGACCTTCAAACAAATAATGGTTTTTGAGTACAGCTATGCCCCCAAGCCGTAGTCAGCAAGCTGCGTGCGTGTGTGCGAGTGTTGCTCAGTCCCGCAACTCTGCTTTCGGAAGGAGAGGGTCGGGAAGCTCGGGAGCAAGCGAGGAGGGCGCTCTTCCTCAGGGGACTGAACGAGGAAGACTCCGCAGGCCTGCGCCTCGACCGTCCGGGCCGCTGGCGCTGCCCGAGCGCTGAGCAGGACCCGAGCCGGGCGCGCCCGACTGCTCACACTGCCCCGGCAGTCCGTGCGAGGGGCCCGCGCCACGGGGAAGCTGCGCGCACCGCTCCCCTTGCTTTCTGGCTTAACCCGAAATTTCTGCCCTGGGAGAGAAGAGTCCCAGGGCCAGCCCACAGCGGCTACAGTCCCTGTCCTGAGCCAGTTGTCCTCCGCTCTCTGCCCTTTATTGGGCGCAAACCGCCCCACGACCACCAAATGCAAGGCCTGCGGCTGGAAATATCCATCCCGGCGTCCCTACGACAAGCGCCGGCTCTGGCGTCGGGTTTGGAAGGGACCAGTAATGCCTTAAACTCTGCCTTTTGATTTGGCCGTTTTCTGTGTTTTTAAGTGCAACTCTGAATCAGGCCTCTGTAACACCAGACCGCATTTTGCAGTTCATAAACGGCTGGTCAGTCTTTCCCACTTTATCTTCTACGCCTATCCTAGAGTCACAGTGTCCCACGCTGGCCACAACGAGTCTCTCCCTGACACCCATTTTATTCACAGGTGCACCTCTTTGACAATGCATTTAAGTAAATTTAAAAATAAGTAGACTAGCTGGAGCTAAAGCTTCTCTTCCATTCTTAACCAATCTTTTTTTTTTTTTTCATTTCAAAAACATTTACAAGTATTTATACACATATGGAGGCTTAGAAAGAAATCTACAGGAACAAGACATTGCCTCTCCAGGGTCCAGAGCCCCTGTTACCCTCTAGGAAGGAAAAACTGGGGGCGGGGAAGGGAGCTGGGGACACAGGAATGTAACTTCAGCTTCTCACCTTGGCTGTGACCCCTAACTCCTTCAGTTCCTGAGCCAGGTCCTGACAGGCCCCTGGCTGCTTGAGACTGCTGGCTCAGGATAAGCCAACAGCGGAGAGGTCCACCATGCTTCCTGTGGTATTTCCGCAGTGGGACAAGGGTGAGAAGGGTGTAGGAGAGATTTAGGAGAAATAACTTCAACAGCATATAAAGAAGCTTAAATTAGAATTTGGGGGCTCAGTCAAAATGAATAATTCCAGGCAATCATAGGATAATCAGGGGGCAGGTGAAATCTACAATCAAAAAGAAAAGAAAGAATACTTCAATCCATAACTGGAAGTTATAACCATAAAAATACAAAATTTTCCTTAAATCCACCTCCACTTTGAAAGGGCTGTTCAATATACTTCATTGTTAGATAAAATAACTCATTCTTTTCAAGATTCTGAAACAAAATTTTGGAAAGATTTCTCCAGTTACACAACCGAGTTTCAGTGTTAGTCACTCCCTGAACCCGGAGGTTTTTCTCCAGTAGTGTCCAGCAAACACACTCTTCCCTAAAGCGTGTGATTTTCTCAAAGAAATCTGCAGGGGGCAAAGCTTCCCTGTGCTCCTGGTGCACCTACCTTTGTATCTAATGGGGCGGGGCGGGAAAAGAACCTCTAAAACTAGGTAAAAAAGAGGTTCCTTGCCCTATAAAAAGACCAACTATGTTTTTAAATCAAAGCACACCTGCGTGCATGTGTGTGCACACACACACCAAAAACACCAAACAGATCTACAGGATTTGCCAGCAGACATGTAGAGACTCCTGACAGTCTCTATACTTACTGTATATGTAGACCTACAATTTTATCACAGCTTCCCTTACTCTGCAAGTGGTGAGCTACTTATGCAGAAATATCTGATATGCTTTTTAATACACAAGATACATTACATAGAAATACATTCTAAGAGCAGCTGAAAAAAACACACAGCAACAGGCAGTCTCATCCAGCAGTTTTCTTGAATTTAAATCCCACATGGTTAATAAATAATTAAATAAAAAAATAAATCCCACATGGAATTTCTCCTTACAAGTACTGCATAAGAAGGGATCCACTTGTATGTTCATCTTCTTAGCGGAAAACAACTATCTGGTCTGTCCTCTCCCCCACCCCACAGGATTGGTAATTTTTTTTTAAAGAATGAAATTATGGGATAAAACTAACAGAAAACAAAAGTTGTGTAAATGTGTACAAGGTATGTGCGGTGAATGGCTTGAAATTATCCCACCCCCATCCCTGGCAGCTTAGTTCCCCAAAGTCATCACTCTGCCCTCTCCTTGTACTAATCCCATTCTCCTTTGCAATTGCTTATTTTCAATTTGGAAGGCTCAGGCTATCCCTGAATACTTGCTGGGAGTAAATGGTTTGCCCAGTGAACGCCTCACCCTGTTTCATTCTCCTAAAGCCTGTAGCTGCCTCTGCAGCAGCTGCAGCTCGGCTCACCATCTTGCCCTCACTCCTCCTCCTCCCAGGTTGTTTTGGTTTTGTGATTCTACAGACCGTGAACTGTGAACTTTGCGTCTCCCGAAGAATAGCTTGAAGAGCACAAGATATGGAAGGGATCTGAAAGCCCTGCTACAGGGGTGCTGCTGGGCAGGGGGCTGTTGCAAAATGCCACCACTGACACGAATTCCGACTCCTGCCCTAGGTCCGGAGAGAAAGCAAGCCAGGGAAACTGGAAATAGAAAAATTAAGAACAGATATTGCCATGGAGATCCACTTCTAGAGTTGGAACCAGACTCTCCTAGTTACTTGTTCTAACCTAAGAGAGAAAAATGAAGGGGAAATAAAGCAAAACAAACAAAAACCTCTATCTTCCCATTCTGGGGGACAAATTCATAAATGTGAAGAGATGACACAGACGAAAGAGACACCTGAGGGCGCAGGGACTCCTTTCTTGAGAAATGCTTACAGACCACCTTAAACAGTCACAGAGACCACTTCATCAAACTCTCTTCTGCCCTACAATGCCCAGCTCTGCTATTCCCGAAGCTGTTTTCAGGTCTAGGGAGTGTGAGCACCAGAACCCGGCCCACAGCAAGGGAGTGTGCACGGTGTCCCCAGCTCCTCAGGACAGTCCGCGGCTCCTCACAGCTTCCCTCCGGAAGTCAGGGGCACTGCCTTTGGGGGCAGCAGCTTCACCACGGCCCTACCTACAGGACAGCTCCAGGGCCTTTCGCTCCTTGTCAGCCATATTCCTGAGAAGCCTGGCTTGTTTCCCTCTGCACATCTGCCCCAGCGAAAGGCAAACACCCAGGGCTGTCAAGGAAGTGCTGAGGCTGGACGAGATGGCAAGGTAGAGACTCCGCAGGAGGAAAGACTTGGAGAGAATGCTAGGGCCTGCTCAGGAAGCCTGGAGGTGAGAGAGCCAAAGAAGAGTCAGGGAAGGGCTTCTGCCCCCCTCCAAACCTCAGCTCAGACCCACACTCCTTAAAGCACGCAGAGTCAGAGAGAAGACAGCCTTTGCTCTCAGCCCACCGATTAGCAGCCTGAGGTCTAAATGTGCATAGAAGCTGGGAAGGAGTTTGCCAGAGGCAGCCCTCCTCACTGTTAAGTTTTGTTGTTAGTTATCTAATACAAAGGCAGCTGAGGGCAGCCTGGCGACTACTGCTACTGGAGCTAAGCGGTTCCGCACTAGGAACTGATTGTGGGTTCATCAGATTCTCTGTCCCGTTTATCGGTTTTGGGAGCCTTGGGCCTTGTAACTATTGTTCCTAAATGGGGCTTTTCCCCATCAGATTGCTAGAGACTGGAGACCTCCGAAAGCGAGTGCAGCTTAAAGGCGACGACAGGTTCCCCCAAGTTAGAGTCCCTGTCCAACTTGGCGAAAAGCACGCCCATGTTGGAGGGCCTTGGCCACTTCCCTGCCAGATGCGAGGCCCTCGAAACTCCGCAGCCGGGAAGAGCCAGCAGCACGGTGGCGAATGCCCGTGCGTGGGTTTTAATTGGCTCCCGTTCTGATCTTTTGCCTCCTAGCTACACTTGACACCTCACCTTTAACTTGAGGAAGGCACCAGGCCACCCCGACGCACTGTCCCGAGGGGTGACGGGGTGACTGCCCGGGGAGAGGCTTTCTCCCCGGCCACTTAGCGCGGTCCAGACTTAATACCAAGTTCTCCCGGGAAAGTTAAGAATCATTCTGCCTGCGATAGAGAAGGCAGGCCCAACCAGGCCAACTTTTCAGAAACTTGCCTCCGGGCCTCCCAAGCACAGCCACAACAAGGACTCAATTAGTTTCCCAAGCGCGCGGCCAGCCTGTCTTACCGAGGACGCCCTTACCTGGCTTGGCGAGCTGAGCCTGCAACGCCCCGGGCTGGGGCTCAGCGGCCCAGCGCAGTGCGGCGGCCGCGGCCAGCTCGGCGGCGGGGCGCGTCGGCGGCTGAGACGGCTGCGAGGCTGGCGGCTGCTGCGGAGTGGCGGCGGCGTCCCCAGGCGGCGGGGGCCCGGGCAGAGCGCGCAGCGAGTCGGGGATGAGGCTCTCCAGGCTCTCGTTGGCCTGCTGCCGGCGCAACGCCACCTGCGCCGCCATGACCCGCTGCCGCTCGATGATGAGGATGCACTTCTCGCAGGTGCAGTCCTTGAAGCGGCAGTAGCGCTTGTGGCCCTTGAGCCAGGACAGCACGCCGTGGTTGCGGCACCGCGCGCACTTGGGCGTGCGCTGCAAGGGCGCCCGCGGCGGCTGCGACACCGGGCCGCCCATGTAGAGGTAGGGGGAGCCGTAGCCGTTCATGCCCTAGGCTCCCGGAAGAGTTGGCGGGCTAGCGGCCCTAGCAGGCCAGGGGGCGCTGGACGGCCGGGCTGAAGAGGCCCGCTCAGGGGCAGACTCCCGGCACGCAACCCCTGGTCCCGCAGCCCCGGCGGCCGCGTGCGTTCCGGGGCGGCAGGAAGTGCAGCAGCTCCTTCTTCAGTTCCCGCGGCGTCCACAGCCTCGGCCTCCCGACTCCGGCCCAGCCAATCCCCGCGCCGGCCGCGTCTCCACTGGCTGCTGCTTTGGAAGCGAAGCCCGGCCAGCCCGTCCTTCTTCGCCGAGGCGCTGCGGCGGCGGCGGCGGCAAAGAGCCGGCCAGAGCTCCGATTAAGGTCTGAGCCAGCTCGTCTGCAGCTCCCGGGCTCACTGGCCGGGCCCAACACCTCCTCCACCCCCTCCCCCAACTCCTCCTCCCTCCCACCGCCGCCCCCACCCACCCCGGGTCTCCGTCTCCTGGCACTCCCCTTCTTTCTTGCGCCCCTTTGCGTCCCTGCACTTCACCTTCCTTGCCACCTGCAGCCAGGCCACTGTCGCGGGGGCGCTCAAGGCCCCTTCCTCCAAATCCTCGGCTACCCCTGCCCGCGGCGGGAGGGATTGCGGCGCTCTGGAACGCGGCGATTCACAGGGGGCGGGGAAGGGGAGGACCCACGGAAGTGAGGGTGGGGGTGCCAGGGAGTGCGCGAGGCGGCCGCTCCCCTCCGCTGCCTTCTCCCTCCGGCCCGGATTTGGCGGCGCGGAGCACAGGGCCGCTTCTATCCAGACTTTCGGCGGCAGAAAGTCGACTCTTGGATTACCGGAGCCTACCCGAGAGTTGCGGGTGCGCGCGCGACCCGGAGCGGGCCCAAGGGGTTTCAGGTGGGGCCAAGCCCGTCCCCTGGCCACTGGCGGGTGGAGTTGGGATAGTGGGTGGTATTAGTTCGGAACATTTGGGGGTTTTTAAATTTCCTTTTACCACGTATTTTTTTTTCTTTTGTTGCTGTAGAAGAAAATGAATGTTTGAAAATCTGCAGACTTAACGGTAACAACTCATTTTGCAAGCTAATTTTTCAAACCCTCCTTCTGATGTTTTTTAAGGCCAGAGTAACTAAACTTTCAGAGAGCAGATGCAGAAGTCACATTTGCCTCCCAAAGTTATGGGACTTGATGCCCTTTCTCAGCCATTGAACCATCAGAGGCCCAAGACTTCCAGTTAAAATCCCAGTGGATTCAGTGATTAAGTTCTCTATGAGGGATGGGGGGGCGTCGACTCCACTCATAGACTTCTTTTCGTGGGTAGTGGCAGGCGCCTTTGCACAAGATGATGGCATAAAATTTTGTTCAGTTGGTTATCTGCATTTTTCCAATGTCCTGCGAGTACCTAGTTTGGCCTTATGCATACCACCCCTACGTGCACACACTGGCAACTACAGTTCCCAACTCCATCAACAGGCAAAACCGTCAAAACTGTGCGAAAGGGTAGACGGCACTCCGGAGCCATCTGCCCGCTTGCTCCTAAGAGCTTACGATAAACTCATCTCCTGGCGGGTGTGGACGATTAGAATGCCCCGTGAGAACATATACCAGTCCGCTGCAAGGTAAGATCCGCGGCCGCAAAGAGGCCTTTGTCCCGACAGTTAGGCCCCTTTTCCCTGTACTGCCGTGGAAGCAAGCATGCAACCCAAAAAGGTTTGTCGCTGTGAATTCAAGTGAAGCATCCCCAACCCTCTCCTTAGAAGGGTAGCTCAGGGGAGCAAGGAAGGCTTAAAAAGACGCCCAGTTGAGGACATTGCCCCCCTCACCCTTAGCCTCGACGGCTGTTCCTTCATGTCTAGAAGTTGGAGCTGCAGGGAGGATGACCTGGTGGTACCTGAGCAGGAAGCTGGGGTGCTCAAGTGCTAACCTTGGGAAGACAGCCCCAAAGCCCTGTTTGCAGGAAGCCCATCTTAATCTTTTCCTCCCTCCCAGCCCTGGATAGGAAAACAGGCCCCTAAAACACGAAGGCCGGGAGGAATTTTGAAAATTGTTCAGAGAGGAGACAGAGGTACTGCCGCCCGGTGGGCAGAGGCCGGCGAGTGGAAGCTGGAAGTGGGTCGACGTAGAGGGCCATGAATGACACCGACCCCGACCGAATACAGGAACTTTCCTGCAGACATCTCCATGTCTTTTGAAAATGTCAGAACCCAGGACTTTCTCCCGGGTTTTCTCCAAATAGTCAGTGAAATGGAAGAGTATAAGGAAGTTGAGAGTAAAGAATGTCGTACAAAGTAAAGTAGCAGAGAAAGAAAGCACCATGTTTGTGGGGGCATTTTCGCTCCCAAGTGACCCCCTTCCCCCCTGGGTCACCTAGCCACCCTAACCCGTTGCCACTCAAACAGTCAGCATTATTTTGGTTGGGGCTCTGTTTCACTCCAGTGCACATCGGGGGCTAAGATCTAAATACTCATTTGATATAGCGCAGTAATCCTTTTCTCATATTTGATGGGAATGTTTTCCATATCCCAGTATTTGACAACATCTCCCTATAGGGACAGGTTTGTATTTATGTTGGTAAAATGTCCCCTGCCTCAAAGTCTATTGTAACCCAACACCTGACAACCCCGAGTCCCATTTCTGTTTGCAGAAAGGGTTTATTCAAGCACATAATGGGATCCCAGCAGAAAGCCTTTCAGAACAAGGGGCTATGGTAAACTTCACCACATGAACTCCGTTTCCAGGGCTATTAAGCTTTTAATTGGAAAATAGCAGAGGAAATTTCAAGGTGACTATAACGTGTTAGCAGTTAGCGCGGAGAAGAAAAGCCCGAGCGGGACTGAATGTAGAAAGCATATGGTCCGAATCACATTTAGGAGCAGCGGTCTGCTTCAGCTAAGTCCTGGCAGCTTACGCGCCTATGGGAAAAATCATCAAAGAAATCGGAAAGGGAGGGGGAGGATTACAAGTAAATGTAACCTCGCTAGCCAGATCCACTCGAGCTCTCCGCTGGGGTGGGGGTGGGGAGGAAGTGTGTGTGTGTGTATGTATGTGTATGTGTGTTTCAAGTCGCAATTAACTGGGGAGAATCGGGGCAGGTGGAAATAGCGAAGTGAGGGACGGTGTTTGTGGTCCTTTCTCGGCGCCTACATACACGCATGGCGGGGCTACATCTGAAAGCTCCGAAGGCAGGTGCCCTTGCGGAAAAAAACGAGGATACTCCGACTCCAATCCCGGGGTCTCAGTAGCGGCTCTGCACCCCCAAACAACGCTGAACCTCAAGGTCGGTTTCAAATCGTCCCGGTACAAAACATGTCAGGACATTTTCTGCCTTACTGATTCCCACGGAGGGAGAGAGAGCAGGGTTCCTATTTTTGCTATTTGTATGGTGGCCGAGGTGACGTTAGCGTGGGCAGACACGGGAAGCCGGGTGTGCAGAAATCTCTCAGTGCCTCTTGGCATTGCTTGTCCGCCGGTTTTAAACGGAAAGGAGGTGGGGGCATCTGGCCAGGTGCGGGGGCGATTGGCAATCGATTTCCTGAGGTGGCAATAGCGTTCCTGGTCGCCGTGAATTCCCAACGGGTCTGCCAGGCCGCCCCACGGTGGAGATGGCAGAGGCCTCGTGGGGCCGAGGGGCAAATAAGCCCGCGCCGGGCGGGTCTGGGGCACACCCAGGAGAGAGTCCTAGACCCTCAGGAGCCCCACCACTGTGGAACCGAGTGAAACCAGTGGCAGTGGGATCTCTGCTTCAGAGCCCCAGGGACAGAGGCCTTTTAAACAAGGGAACAGAAGGACTGCGACCCCGCTGGCCCTATGCAGACCCGCCAGGTGCTGCTCCGTCCTTCACGTTCTCGAACTCTCTCGAAGCCAGAAGCCGTTCCCGCATGGGGACGAGCACTCGCGCGCTTGCGGATGTCTCGCCTCCAGCACGGACAAGAGACCACGCCCGCCCCCACATTGTGTGTGTGCGTGTGTGTAGGTGCAAGTGTTGTTCGCCTTGTGGCTTCTTCCCAGAGGGTCTCGGAGTGGCTACTTCAACCCTGCGCTTTCGCGAGGACCGGGGAAGCGCGCGCCTCCGAGCGTTCCCCGCCGGCCGTGGGCGCCTACTCCTGCCTCGGGCCCCGGGCCTCTCCCTGAGCGTCTGCTGCCCCGCGGAGTCTCTCAGGTTTCCCGCGGGAGCGAGAACTCGGGGCGCCCCACCGGGCCGCTGGAGAGCCCGGGGCCGGCAGGAGGCGTCGGCCAAGTCCGCGCAGCATTTGCGGGGGACGGACACAGATCCTGTTGGCCTTCTGCATAAAGGCGGGGAGAGGCGCGAAAGAATGGTAACTTGTGTCTTCCACGGTAAAATGAGCAGCGCTGACGTTAAAACTGCCCTAAGGTACTCTTCCGCCTGCGACTTTAGAAAAAGGAAGGCCGAGGAACTCGTTCAAGGGAAACTGAACAACATTCAAGGGACAAGGAAAGTTTCCTCAGTGCTTCGACTCTCGAGGCGCGGGGTGCAATTCTTGCCCAGA